CTGGTGGCTTTTACAGAACAGTGAGGTGTTTTGGCTTGTTATGGGTTAAGACTATTCAGTGAGTCATTGTAACTGTGCAGAAGCAGCTAAAGGGAAGAATGAGCTCCTGGCCTGGCAAAAACAGAAGGAAAACTTAGTTCCTCCCTGGTAGCTATGGGCAGATTTCCCCCTCCTGGTTCAATCAACTTCAATTGGCAATGGGGAATGTTAAATTAATCTGTAAGCTGGAACTGATGTAGCCTGATTACCTGCTGTTTCAGTAGCTTCCTGGGGTTGGGGGGAGTATTGTTTGAAGATGGGGGTCTTGCTTGAACAGGTTTGTCCTGTCCTAAGCATGGTAGCTGTGTTCCTTCCCGGGAGCAGTCCTCGGAGCAGTGATAGGTGCCAGACCAGAACTTTGTGTCTCACTGTAAATTTCAGCTTTTTCGTAGAAATCTTTGATACAAAGGACGGGAGCGTGTCCATAAGAACACAGAAAGCGCATCAAACCTCCATAACAAAGAACTATTTTCCGTTTTTCCCCTTACTGCTGATGAGTAGCCAGTTTAACAGCGTAACATTGCTTCGTATTCTGACAGCTTACCTCCTCAGGAAGAGCCTTACCTTTGAGTAGCTGGAGTTTGCTGTTCGCTTGTGCCAACAAGGCTTTAGCTTCATCTTGCAACATGCCAGCTTTCCTCCTAGCCTCGGCCGACTCCTCTGTCTTCTTCGCAATGAGATCTTCCACTCTCCCGTATTTGTCGTTCAGCTCGGTGTTGAGGACCTGTAGTTCCAGATGGAAGCACAAGAGGGAGCTCACTCAAAAGGGAACGCAGCAGGAGTTGGCTTTTCCTGCCTCGCCTTTACTCATCCGGGCGTAGGGAGACTGTATACAGGCTGTTAGCTCGGTTAACAAAAGCACAAACAGGGTCGGGCTGGTTCCTGCTTACTATTCAAAGCTTTAAGAACTGGGGTGAAGACTCCCTGGTTTCCCTTTTTGCAGATCTATGGCTGCTTTATGGCTTTAATACTGACACTTGGCAAGGTTTTATGGGATTCAGTTACACAGTTCTGTAACGAACGAAAGCCATGGCCAGTACAGCTGGGAAGCTGCATGCGGTAAGGAGCTGGCGCTGCTTCTGGCTGAATGCTGACATTTAGGGAGGAATACCCTTGTCACTCTTTCAGTAAGCTACGCTGCCTGGTCTGCGTTGGTGAAGGTGCTGCAGAAGTCATGAGGTTGGTTTCTCAGCTCTGCTGCTCTCCGTGAGGTTATAGGATTAAGATCTGTCACCCAGCTGAATTAGAGTTCACGAGCTGCGGCAGTACTGGAAGTCTCTTGTGTTTACTTGGCTGCCACCTGCAATACTACTTAGTGTTTGGAAAGAATTGATTTGATGTATTATCCATCTCTCCTGGCAGAAAAATGCCTCTCTGGAGATGCATGGGCTAACTATAGACAACAGATTGGAGCAACGAAACTTCCCTCGGCAGGTTTGTCAATTGTTACAGAGCATTCTTTTGCTGTTACGAAGGTGCGTAGCAGCCCTTGGGAGCAATGGCATATGGTCGCAGAGCAAATTCTGCATCTCTGATATTTAGAAATGACTCTGGCTTATACTGAGATAACAATTTTTCTTGTTGGTTGACTCTGTATATGCTAAATTCTGGCCTGTTTATCCTGAACCTGTCATTGTCTTGGAACCAGAAATACTCTGTGGAAGGGGAAAAAAAATTGCCAGTTCTGTGACAGATAGTAAAGCTGAGGGACAGAAACAACTATGAAAGGCTGATGGTGTCACAGCATGACAGGTTTCCTGCAGCTATTTTAGGGCCTAAAAACATCCCAACTCTTTTCTTCTCTCTCTATCTGGTGCCAAAAAAAGTAAAAAGCAGCTATCTTTGGTAAGTGCATGAAGTGCCTTTTTTTTTTTTGTCCCTGGTACTTGACCAATAAATGAAC